TCCACGTCACAGAACCAAAAGGCAACAGGGCCTGGAGGTGTTGGGGAAATGCAAAGTTAGGAATCAGAGGACAAAATGTTGCCATCAAGAAAACTAAATACATTCAGGAGAGCTGCTTTCCAGTTGGAAAACCAGTAGCCAGAAATACTATAAACATTCACGAGGGTGGACCTCACACTTTGCAATCTTACCGCATAACCTTTATTTTCCTGAGAAGAAGATATAAATAACACATAAGCAGGTATTCAATTTATTCCTAACAGTTTTGTGAGGTGACAAAAAGAAAAACAAGAGAAAGAGCCAAAGAAGGAAACAAGAAGGAAAGAAGGAGGAAGGGAGGTTGGGGGCATGGCGAAAGAAAGAGAAATTCAACCCAGCACCACAGCTGTAAACCTCTCTTGAAACAAACAGAAAAAAAAATAATGAAGTCATTTGAGCCTGGTTCTGTGGGGTGACCTGGCTGGGGACAGGACTCCAGTGTGACATTCAGTTCTGGCATCTCTGCCCTGCCAAGACAGACCATTCTTTTCAGGCATGGTGTTGGCAGAAATCCCTTTTGGTCCCTTCCACTGGGCCTCAGGAGAGGCCAGCCATATGGAATCTTGCTTTCCCTCTGGCTTCTGACGCCAAAGAGGAATGGTCTAACATCTTGGCCTCACATCAACCCCTCTTTGAGGTTCTGTGTTCATCTCTGAGAGGCAGAAATGGAACTTTGCTGTCCAGAAAGTCATGTTCTGACACATTTACTCACTCTGAGCCCTCACTAAACTGCACAAGACTGAAATGTTCTCTGTCTATCTCTATCTCTGTCTCTATCTCTGTCTGTCTCTGTCTGTCTCTCTCTCTTTCTCTCTCTCTCTCTCTCTCTCTCTCTCTCTCTCTCTCTCTCTCTCTCTCTCTCCACTCTCTTGTTGCTATTGTGTTGGATTGGTTGGTTGGTTTGGGGGTGACACCCAGTGATGCTAGATGAGGGGCAGGGTCATTCCTGGCTCAGAGGACCATGTACTGAAGACCCAACCCAGGCCTCCTGCATGCAGAGGAATGCTTTCCTTTGCATTTGCATCCCTCCCCTTTGTTTTTAAGCCTTGGAGTCCAATGCTGCTCTAAGTCTTTTTGTCATTTTATCAGTTTGAATCTTTTCTCTGCCCTGTCCATGTCCTTGAATACTCCTGACTCTCAATGATTTAGGCCAAGAATTCCTTTTTCTGATGAAGACCACAGATTCCATGCTAGGAATTTTTCAACTGCAGCAACTTAGACAAGTTCCTTAACTGTCCTAAGTGCTGCTTGCTCAACTGTGAACTGGCTACAGGAACATTGCCTTGCTCACTTACCAGGCTTATCCCAGGGCTCAAATGACATGAGAAAGCACCTTGAGAGCCTAAGTGCTCCATACTTGTATGCATTTCTTTTGTCTAAAACACAGTGGCTCAAGTTCCTTAAGTAGACTTTGTGGTATTAACTTACTTCCATGGATTCAGCCATTTCAGACACAAGTGGAATTTTTCTTCATATATCCATTCTGTTTCTGAAAACAGTCCCATTTCTTTTGTTGTCATTGTTCTTGGACCACACTCAGTGGTGCTGGAAGACTATTCCCAGCTCTGTGTTTGGGATTTTCTTGCAGCGGTGTTGGCAATTTGGGGAATCCAATCCAGGTCGCTACCATGGAGCCTGTGTCTCTGGGGGGGGGGGGGTGCTCAAGCATCACGTTGGGTGGTTCTTGGGGGGAACTATATGTGATGTCAGGATTCGAACCAGTGATCTGACACAGCTATGTATGAGGCAAGTGCTTTAACCTTTGAGTCATCTCTGGCTCTCCAAATCACTTTTTTTATTTATTGAAAGTTCATTACACCAGGCAGGAAAGGCTCCTGTACAGTCTGGCATGGTTACAATAGAAAGCCTGCTGCTTTTGGAATTTTTAACCCATACTGACTCTAATTGGTGGTTTGCATGATAGACATGCAGAGGCCTTCTAGGTCCCCCTTAGAAGAAAAGCTTATTGCCCAGCTCCAGGGAGTTGAGTCTTGGTGTGCCCAAGCTTCAGGAGCTGCCTGACATGGGCCATGCTGATGGGCAGTCCTCAATCTAGAATTCCCCAAGAGGTTTTCCATGACCCAATATCCTGCACGTAGGACACTCTTCCAGTGTTGATGTTGTCCCAGAATCAAGCCATTTCCCTTCAGTGCATTTGTAGCATTATTTCATTTGGGATTTTGCTCCTGTGTCTGTGCTCACTTGCTATTTTGGCTTTGTCCATATCAAGACAGGGGCTTCAGGGGCTGGAGCAATAAAGGCTACAGCAGGTAGGGTGCTTGCCATGCATGTGGTCAACCTGGGTTCAATCCCTGGCACCCCATATGGCCCCCTGAGCTCTGCTAGGAGTGATCCCTGAGCACAGAGCCAGGAATAAGCCCTGAGCACCACCAGGTGTGCCCCAAGTCCACTCTTTCCCCTCAAAATTCAGGGGCCTCAGGAAGACAGGAATGGTGTCTAGTTTTGTTCTCCATCCTATGCCTCGCTTTTAGCATGATCCCTGGAAGATAGTAGGCCCCTGGTTACCATTTGTTGAATAAATTTATAGATGAGTGGACAGAGGGGTGAGTGATTGAATAAATTAAGACAAACGAAAAAGAATTATTGGTGTTAATTGGTGAACTTGAAGTTTTCTGGGAATTAAAATCAATTCCCAGAAACATTAAAATATTGTTAAAACCAACAGTGGCTGGGCAGATGTCCACAATAGCAACTACTGGAGACACTTTCTCCCTAACCATTGGAAAGAGGAAGGTGGCAGGATGGAAAGCAACAAAACATCAACAGGAGCCAGCGTTCAAGGGACTAAGCACATACTTTGCATGCATGAAGTTCAGGTTCAGTCCTTGGCACCCCTGTTCCCCTCAGCAATGGCAGAGTGGTCCCCAAGCACAGAGTGGGAAGCAGCCCCTGAGCACTGCCGGGTGCAGATCCCAAACAAACCAAATAAAAGTTGGAGAATATTCTTGTATTGGATGCTATTCTCGAGTGTCCTAAAGTTAAGCAGCTGGAATTCTTTCTTAAGGACCAATCTATTTAACTTTTGGGAAGGAAGCATCTGCACGTTAATGGAAAAACTACTTCTCATTATAAGGCTAGCACACAATGTTCTTGGCTTATCTGATCCGCTGAAAAAGAAGCTCAGATTGCTCCTGCTGTCCTCACTCTAGAAATCTCTCTGTCAACAAAACAGGGCAGACTAATAGCTTTTTTTTTCAATCATAAAGAATTTTTAAATTTATTTAGCCACATTCAGAGAAGACTTTATCTTAGGAAAGGGAAAGAAAAAAAAAAGGAGTGCAAGGAAGCTTCCAGATTATGGAAAGCGTCTCCTAAAGGGGGATTCCTAACTCAAAAAAAAAAAAAAAGAAAAAGAAAAAAGGAAGTTAAAAGTATTGGCCCATCCTGAGAAATATCAATTGTCAGCAAAGCCTGCAGAGCCACATTGGTGTCTCAGATGAGGTTTAGGAGGCCAGAGATGGAAAGACTCCACATGACCACATGCTAAGCCACTAAGTTCAGATGAGAGGTCAAGTCTTCCAGCTATTCAGAAGTTCTGTTTTCGTGGAACAGGTCAGAGAGGTAGCTCAAAGGACTGAAGCTACAAGCTATACATGTTGGGTTAGATCCCCCAACACTTTGTGGCCCCCAAAGTGGGGATGCCCACCCCCCAACTAAACAAAAATTCTAATACTCAGAAAGCAGCAACAAAGTGCAATTAGCTAATCAGTGGATTAGTCAAAGATTTCTAACTGGCACAGGGCCTCACCGTAAGGAATACAGGGAGGAGGTCCCTGCCTTAAGCTCACTCTAGCAATCCAACTGGAAAATTAAGGTCTAGAAAAGCTGATCTCTTGGCCGGGTATGGCATCAGATTTCAGATAGCTTGTGGTTGGTCCAAGCCCTCCCATGTATTTTCTCCATGAATCTTCATAAGTCTATGAGATGCCATATTACAGTCTCCTGAGAAAAGTTGGACCCAAGACGCCTCTTAAAAAAAGAAGTCTCAGTTCTGTCTGACTTCAAAGCTCATAATCTCTGAGTTTCTGAGGCTCACTGAGCCCAGGTGGAAGGAAAGCTTGAGGCCACGCACAGAAAAATGAGGCCAATTGAGGAAGGGAGCTTGGCACTGAGCCTCAAAGGGGGGTACCACTGAGATGGATGGAAGAGGCAGGAGTGAAAGGACAGCACAGTCAGCTCCTTGGTAGGGTGGCAGGCAGTGAGGGTTGGATGGAGGCATCTGCCTTGCCCACCAGAGCAACATGCCCACATTTTTTGCCAAATCCCATCACCCCGCAGGAAGGCTTTAAGAGGAAATAGGAAAATGGACCGAGTGGACAAGAATTCTGGGTCTTTGCTTCCTCTCTGTGATTCTCTGATCCCTAGTGCAAGATCCCAGGCACTACCCCTCCCAGGTCTCCTCTGTGCCATAAGCCCCTGAAACCTACATCCCAAGGGGGGCACCGTGTTGGCTCCAGGGGAGCTCCAGGCCTGTTGGTTCTGGGATCAATAGAAAGGTGTGTGGGTGGGGGAGGGGAGGCGGGCGGGGACAGTGTGGCAGGAGGGTGAGGGGGGCTACACTCCCACCCCCAACCATTTAAGCAAGAGGCCTTCCAAGGAGGAGAGTGTCAGTTCTGGGGGCATATGCAGGATTTTTAACTCTTTGTTGTTACCGTTGGGCTATTTTTAGGGTTGGTGCTCAGGAGACGCACCCCAGAATGACTCCAGGTGATTTTCCCGCCAAACCGGCAGGCGGTTCGACGCGCCCGCCAAGGATGTGGCTCTGCTGGGGCCCTGTGAAGTTGGAGATCACCCTGCGGGTCTCCAGCGCCACAGCCCGCGGTGGTCTTCACGCTCCCACACAACCTTCTCAGCCCAGGAGCCACGGCAGGGAGGAGGGATGGGCAGCCCGGGGACCTGCCAATCACTAGGGCCTCCAGGTCCCCTCCAGGGCACGGGCCATGCTGAGCCTCTCCAGCGGAGCGGACAGAGTCGGGGTGCGGGGCGGTGGGGACAGACGCACCGACTCCTCGGGCTCTTGCCGCTCTCCCCCTCCGCTGACGCGCAGTGCCCAGGCCACCGGCTGGGCTGGTGCCGGGAGCGGGCGCCCGGCCCTCCCCCGCGCATCTCCGCTCGCTTCTCTGCCCGCGTCTGCCCGCAGCCCCCGCCCTGTCCTCCGGGCAGCTCGGGCGCCGCCACCAACTGCCCGCCGCGTCCCCAGGCGGGTGACTCAGAGCGCCGCCGCCAGCAGCCCACGGCTGGTCCCGGGCGGGCATATAAAGGCGCCCCGAGCGGGACGCGGCGCGCTCCGAGCATGGCCCGCGGTGGCGGCGGCGGCGGCGGCCCGGGAGGCGCGGGCTGGGGGCTGCGCGGGGCGCTGGCGGCGCTGGCCCTGCTGGCGGCGCTCAACGCGGCGGGCACCGTGTTCGCGCTGTGCCAGTGGCGCGGGCTGAGCGCGGCGCTGCGGGCGCTCGAGGCGGAGCGGGGCCGCGAGCAGCGCCAGGACAGCGCCCTGCGCGCCTTCCTGGCCGAGCTGAGCCGCGCGCCGCACCGGGCGCCCGCACCCGCCCCGGAGCCCGCGGGCGCCGCCGCGCGCAGCAGGCGCAGCCACGCCGGGGAGCCCGCGCCGCACGTCCGCGCCGAGAGCCACGACATGCTGATGATGATGACCTACTCCATGGTGCCGGTAGGCGGGGGGCTGGAGGGCGGGGAGCCCAGAAGGCCCCCTCCCTGCCCCACGGGGCCCCTCCGCACCCGCCGCGCTGCGAGGGCAGCGGACAGAGGTCTTCGCCCGGGCAACTCTCCGGGGCTAGCCCCTGAGCCTGGAGCCAGCCCGCCCCCCCCTCTGTGACACGGGGCGGGAGGCTTTGCAAGTGGGCCCCACCTTCGGGGCTGCACGTGAATGAAGGGCATATGCAGCGAGTTTGGTCTTTTTTAAACTTCGTTGGCATTTTGGTGGTGGTGGCAAAAGAGTTGACTTGGTGTGTGTTAAGGGGCTGCGTAGGCCCGTGTGAAATCCGCTGGCGGCTCCGGCTGCAAACTCAGGTAGGAGCTGAGCCTGATGTGCGCAGGAAGGATTTCTTTTCCCTTATTGGTTTTGGGGGCCACACCCCAAAGTGTTAGGGGCTACTCCGAGCTCGGTGCTCCGGGGAGAAAAGACTATGCTGCGGATAGACGAGCCAAGCATCTCCCCCTCTGCCTACGGCAGAACGCCTTTAAATCTCCTTTCCTCCTAGCATCCGGCAGCCCCAGAACTCAGCCCCATCCAGAGACAGAAAGAGCAATCCTGAAAGAGCAAAGACTTTCTCCTTGGACGCCTAAGTCCGTGGTCTGGCTTTTCACAGCATAGGATCTCCATCCCGAGATGGCCCATCTCGTTGATACCGTTACCTGTAGACAATCAGCCCTCATTTTTATTACCTGGGACCCGGGTACTGAGAAGGCTGTTCCTGCATCCGGTGTTGTTGAGAATGGGAGCCCTACAAAGCTATTTTCCTACCATCCCAAGTTAAAGCTGAGACTCTGATGCAATGGGCTCTATGAAGCTGCTGCACCCAGGGCCACTAATCTAGCACTTGCATGTAGGGAGAATCCATAGTTTCTTACATCCTGGAAGGACCTTGGCTGCATTGCCCCCACCCCCCACTCTCCCAAAGAAAGCAAAAAATGATCTTTAAAGCGACAATTAAAATATCTTCTTTCCTGGTTTAAGTTGTTTGCCTTTGATAAGTTTACTCCGTAATTATCTTGCAGTTACGTTTAGACTGAAGCTCTCCATTGCACTGCCCCGATCTTTCACTTCATTACAAGGGAGATGCCAGTGCTGTCCCTATGAGCAAACTGCAGGATCCTGGCCATTCAGACACAGATTCCCTTAAGGCTTCTGCAATTGAAGCTTTTTGATTCTTATTTGGGCTGAAATGTCTTTTAAAGTGGTAATGAAGGACTATCCATTTCAGACACCTTCTGACAGAGATCTAATTTTACAGTCCTGGCTTCATTTTCACTCTTGTTGTCATTTGAAAAATCTTGGCTTAAGCAAAAATTTAAGCAAACAAACAACAATGATAGCAGAAGACTTCTGGGCTGGAGAGAGAGTACAGCAGGGAGGGCACTAGCCTTGTTCACGGCGGACTCAGGTTCAATCCCTTGCACCCCATAAAGTCCACCCTACTCTGACTAGGAGTGATTCCTGAGACTAGCCTGGCATGGCTCAAAACCCAAAAACAACACAAAAAGACTTGTATAAATTGTAGACATCTTAGAGGAACTAGCTTTCTCTTTTGTTTTCTTACTGTGTCTGTTGAGGGTTTTTTTTTTGAGAAACTTCTCTAGACGTACCTCTGAACATTGACATTTCATTTTTGTTTTTGTAGGAGTTTTGCAAGAGGTGCTCATGGATCGGGGGGCACAACAGTGTGTGCCCTGGTGCTCGGGCAAGGAAGGGCATTCTCAGCAGTGCTTGCTGGCCACCAGAGCCCAACTCAGGTGTTGGGGACCATGCAGTTCTGGGCATTAAACTCTGAGCCTTGGGCATGCAACGCATAGACTCCATTCCAGGGAGCCAACTCCCTGATCTTTAAGCTCTAAGATTTACTTTTTAATCTAATTTTGTTCCTTAATTAAATTTTTAATCTAATATTATTTCTAAGGAGAGACTTTTATGTGCAAATTACCTAACTCAGGAGAATTGAGAAACTCATATTTCAGTCACGGTGAGCTTCCACTGCCTGCCCCGTCAGAAGACAGATGCAGCCCTGCCAGGCTTAAGCATTTATAGGTTCCCACTGACTCACGTCCATGTGAGGGAGTGGGGTGAAGGGGTGGAAGGTGAGGGGGTCTGTGCATGCAGACCAGGAGAAGACAATCATTAAATTGCTGCCTTTCCCCCCCACCCCCCGCCCCGGGTATTTTCTCAAACAACAGAATTAGAGATGTTCCCCTAGGAACACCTTAAAATGCAGATTCCAGGGCCCCACCCAGAGAATTAGGGGATCTGTAGCCTCTAAACTCTGCAGTCCTAAGAAACCCCTGTTATAGGCTAAGCAGACACACACCCCCACCCAAATATTCCACAGAATCAGAGTTTTGTCTCAAATTAAGGAGCATTTATTAGCTGGCCAGCACTGCTCTTTCTTAAACCCAGTCTGGATGAGATAGGCAATCCTGAGAGCAAAAGGCTATATATATATATATATATATATATATATATATATATATATCCTGAATTTCACTAAGCAAGCAAGTAAGCAGGTTACAGAAGCAAGAAAGAATAGCAGTCAGTGAAGCGTGCATCCTGACCCAAGCCGCAACTCAGACATGGCAAAGACATGGCAAACCCTATCCCGAAAACAGACGCTACAAGTTCCTTTGTTCTGGGAACAGGGCACAGTAAATCCCATTCTTCTTTGTGTTATGTTCCCCCTTGTGTTTTTCGGGTAATTTCCTGATTTTAACGTCCCCCCAACCCCCATTTCCACCCGTTCCCACGGTCCAGCCCTGCCTTTGGTGAGTCTGAAGCAATGCTGTGGAGGAACCTCTCAATCACCGTCCTCGTGAGTGCTTGAGGCCTCTGTGGAGGGGTTCTGAAGCCTGAGACTCTGCGTTTTCTTTGCCTCCAGGGCTACCTACTCTGTCATCACTAGATCAGCACTTTGAGCTGCATGCTCCTGGTATGTGCACCCTAAAGGTGTCAAGGGGGCATCAGAGGGGAGCTTTGAGCATCCATCGCTGCTGCCTCAGTTACACCCCCATGTCCCCCTCCACAGCAGGCTCCGCTAGGTTCTTGCTTCATACCCCCGGGGTGTGCTTTGGGCCGAGCAGCCACTTTTCTTGCTGAAAGGCCTTTCCCTTTCTTCTAACGGCCTTCACAGAGTTTCTTCTTTATAGTCTTGGTGTACCCATAAGGAAACCCATTTTCAGCAAGAAAATTTCTGTGGAGCCTCTCTAGCAGAAAGTCCCATAGGAAAAGGGACATGGCGCTCTCCTTACAAGTGGCCAAACTGGGTTTGATCCCAGGCATCCCTGAGACCTCCAGGAGTAACTCTTAAGCTCAGAGCCAGGAGTAATCTCTGAGCATTGCTGGCTGTGTCCCCCAAACAAACAAACAAACAAACGGGCCACTAAGAGAAACTGTCTGGTTAGAAACGTGGAAGGTACTATCACCCCAGTTATGGATAAAGCCTCTGACCCCTCCACTCTCCAGAGACTGCTGGAGTAAGTGGAAGGGGAGAGGGGTGCAGGAACCCTCCTATCCCCAGGTCTTATTATGTCTGTAGACATCTGGGAACAAAGAAATAAGCTGTATGTCAACTTATGTCTGCTTTTCATACCCCTGAGCACCAAACTGGGAGTAGCCCCTGAACACCACTGGGGATGGGCCCAAGATAGATGCCCTCCCCCCTTGCCTCCAAATGGTTCGTTTCTTCAAGATGAGCCTTCTCTGGCTAACAGACACTTCCAGGTTCCGAACAACCCGAACAACCCGTCGGTATGGCCATTCTGGCTAGCAGCTCCTGAGCAGAAAATGCTTGTCAGCCAACTGTGAATGTAAGTCATTAAGGACTGAGGAAGCGAGTTGTTAAGTGCAGAGAGCTCGGTATGTCCCAAGCACATAATTCTTTCCAAGCAAGTCAGTGCCTTGAAGGAAAGTAATAAAAGGGCCCCTGGGCTCCAGTGAGTTAAAACAGTATAGCGCGAGTCTTCTGCCAGGAAACCCCCGCAAGAGATGCTGCTTCTGTTCTGGCTTAGCCCTGCTGCTTCTCCTGCTCTCTCGCCGCTTTCTTCAGGTTCCCACCCCCATCCCTCCACCCCAGTCTACGCTCACTTCTCACCATGCACCCCTTGAGGAACTCCAAAGGGTGCCAGGAGTTAAGCAAGGAAAGGAAGGAAGGAAGGAAGGAAGGAAGGAAGGAAGGAAGGAAGGAGGAAGGAAGGAAGGAAGGAAGGAGGAAGGAAGAAAAGAAAGAAGGAAGGAAGGAAGGAAGGAAGGAAGGAAGGAAGGAAGGAAGGAAGGAAGGAGGGAGGAAGGAAGAAAAGAAGGAAGGAAGGAAGGAAGGAAGGAAGGAAGGAAGGAGGAAGGAGGGAGGGAGGGAGGGAAGGAAGGAAGGAAGGAAGGAAGGAAGGAAGGAAGGAAGGAGGAAGGAAGAAAAGAAGGAAGGAAGGAAGGAAGGAAGGAAGGAAGGAAGGAAGGAAGGAGGAAGGAGGGAGGGAGGGAGGGAGGGAGGGAAGGAAGGAAGGAAGGAAGGAAGGAAGGAAGGAAGGAAGGAAGGAAGGCAGGCTAGACTTGCTAGATGAATACATGAGTGAATTCAGTTTTAATCTTTATAATGGGGGATGCCTTTCTGTCAAGTTATAGCAGAGAAGCCAACAGTCAGAATATTTGGATGCTATATTTGCACCTTATGGCTATGTGCCTTATTTCAACTTTGGAACTGAAATGTGTGACTGTGAGTGGAAATTCCACGTGCTGAGGGTCACAGGCAGTTTTCCAACAGTAGGGGGTGGGGGCTGTGTCCCTGAGGTCCAGAGCTCACAGTGCTCTGAGGAGTTAGCTCGTGTGGATTGTTGCTGTAAAGAGTTCAGTGGGCAGAAGTCTGTGCTCTACTTTAAGAGAAGTCAAAGATTGGCTATTTCGTGTTATCTCCGGGCTTTTATTTATTTATTTATTTAGGCTTTTTGGGTCAC